TTGAATTTCAAGGGAAGGAGGAGCAGAAGCAAATCAACAAAACCTTCAACAGAGACCAAACGTGAAGTGTCAGTTCCAAAAATAATGGGCACTTTACAGACTGGCATAGTGAGTTTCTGATTATGGCAAGTGGTATTGCCAAATCACTGTCTGATTTGGAAGGAGGACCTTTTGACAGATTCAAATGAGTTTTGGAATATTAGCAGTTAAAGAGGACAGTAAAACAGCCTTGGGGGTAAGAGATGCAAGAGTCCAGGATACGCAGTCTTATAGACCTCCACGTTTGCAGTGTGGTAAAAAGGGAATAAGAAGGTTTTATGCTACCGCAGTCTAGGCATCTAAATTAAAAATGATCATCTCAGTGTTTAAAAGTCATTGAAACCTCATACCCATTTAAATATTTCTGTACTCATCTACACCCAGACCTGCATCAGTCTAAAGTTTTGTCTAAAAAAAAAAAGTGGATTGCTTCGCTAAGTACCTGATACTCTTGACACGTGTAACTAAATAAGTCACTGATTAAGAAATAAGAATTTATCACAGATTGCAGGACATGGTGTATATTTCTTGGTATGATATTCTCTATTAAACAAACAACAAATGTTCACAGTTTATCATCATTTTGGTATCCCTGTCTCTTCCACCTCTTTTGTGTCGTTGGCGTGGTCTTAGCCTGCCCTTTCCTAAGGTCATATGCCTCTAAGAGGAGGGAATTCCCAATTCTGGGAATTATTTGAGAGCTGCAACTTGTAAGAACTTTAGATAACAGGTTAATGACCATGCTATGAGTAGTTTGTAGTATACATTGTTGAATAATAACTCACTGTTTTATAAACGGATTTCTGCCTTTAAAATCACGTTTCCAGGACTGAGGAATACAGTGCAAAAGTTTGTATTTTAAACCAGGAGGAAAAAGGTAATTATAGCGATCATATCAATTGAGTTACGGTTAATGAAGTGGTATTATACAAACAGGAGGATAAGAGAATATTAATATTCTCTTCTGTGTTTATTACTACTACAAATTACAGAACATCATATTCTTTGGCAAACAACATATCAAACGTCATGCATTTTCCTTTGCTTCTTTCCTTCAATATTGATCTTAAAATGCCATAGCATTATTTGTCCTTTCATGGCAGCTTTTGAACTTCAGTCAAGAATCAGCTCTATAAAACACCTGCTGGCATTGACCTTGTATGCAAAGGCAGACCAGGACCCAAACCTAGAACAGTATAGTGTTTTGGTTGTTAGCGCTCCTATTGCTTCTGTACACCTTCATCAGCTTCCAGGTAAAAGCAGCTTCAGTTCCCTTAATGCATCACTTGTAGAAATGACAGACTAAACAAACTACAGGAAAGAACCTTTTGTATGTGATATTGTATTGTGCTAAAAAAAAGTCTCGAGACACCTATTGTATGCTGTGACATCACCAAACCGTAATGGAAAACTCCTTGCTTGGAGAAAGACAAACACTTAGTATCCAGTGCTAAACTCCTGAAAGGAGTCAGGGAGGAAGGAAGGAAACAATATGTTTGACCTTGGGTTTGATACCAGATACCTAAATCATCACACTGCTGCTGCTTGAGAAGCCTGTTTCAGTTTGTTGTCATGGCTGCTTTACCTAACTTCCCTTCTCAAGTTTGCTGAAATGAACAGAGCTGTCTCATGCTGACTTTGCTCTTTATGCAGGTATGTTTCATTAAACCAGCGTAGACCTTAACCTCAACATAACGTGGTCCGAAGTGAGAAAAGAGAATGTCAAGGTCTCTCTAAGAATTTAGGTGCTAGTTACAGTCCCCTTTCTGTAAACGTGACTTAGTACTGTGTGGGCTGGCTCACAGCTGGCCTACATGTTAAGAAGGACTTTAATGTGAAAAGCTGCCAGGCAGAAAGAGGACAGTTTTGTGGATCATCCTTTACAGTATTGGGGGAAAGGGTGAAAGGGAGACTATGATAAGAGTCTTCAGAGCCCATTTGAAAAATGAATGTCTTGTTTGCAGAGCAGCTTGCTAACCTGTCCATACCTTTGGGCTTTTCAATTTATTATCTGTGTACTTCTTCCCTAAAAGGACTGTCACCTCTCCACTTTCGTATCGGCTGAATAAGCTAATAGGAATATTTAAGTGTTGCGTGGAGTCCTTTGTGTTTAGTTTGTATAGCAAGGAGAACATCCTTACGGATCCAAATAAGCCACAGAGAACAGTTAGGACAGAACTGCTTGTTAGTTCTGAACAGAATGTAGCCGAGTGAATAATTTGAATTTGCATGAAGAATTTCATCAGTTTAGAGAATATGCGATCACGGTTCCATTCTTCATTTTGACTTGTAGCTAAGACTTGTTGAAGTTTCTGCTTGCAGGTGAGCTGTTACCTTAAAGAACCTCTTTTGGGTCTATATAGTGTCATTTCTATCTATTTAAATCAGCTAAGACAAAGTGAGAGAGAACAAAGGATTAGTTGGTGAAAGGCTTATAAGCACTGGCCACTCGCTTTGATTTGGCTCTCAGTGACTGGCTAGTCCCTTTCTAGTCACACTGAATACATTTCTTTTTTTGTTGGATTTGTTAGAATAAAAATTAAGGCATCATCTTCTCATAGACGTATCACAGCGGACTGAGGCCTGTGGCCTCAGCTCTGTGGAATTCTTTGAGCACTCTTGTTTCAGCGATGTTCCTGATGCTTTCCAGGGGCTACCTTTTGGATTGGTCTCTGTCTAATACAAGTCAAGTTTGAAGGCTAACCTTTTTGATGCTCTACTCTCCCTTTCTGGCTCCAAAGACTACCTATTCCCGTGCAACAGAACTGATAAATTAATCTTCAGAATCAATGTAACTGCTGAATTCTGAGTATCAGCTGTGAAAGTGAACAGAATCTTGTGAATTGCATCTGCTTCAGAAAGGCATGCATGGCTTCGAAAACACAGAGCAGCTTGCAGATGCAGGAAGACATCATCGCATTAGTTTGGGTGAAGGTTTTCTTCCCTCCTAATCCGAAGGGCTGTAACTTTTTATGACAGTATCTTGTCTCTTGCACCCTAGAGGCGTGGTCACACTGCTTTTTCAGTTTGTCTTGTGACAATACCAAGTCAGTTTACAATTAGTGTGCAAGTTGGTGTAACTGGAGGCTTTGCAGAAACTCCCAGCATAGATGTATGTTAATAAAATCATTAGCTAGTGAGGATAAAACTCTAACAGTGGCTATCATCATACAAATACTGAAAATACTGAATAATAGCATGATAAATAACGTTCCTGTACTTCACGTTCCTGTTTTCTTTTAGTTTGTACTGTATGTCCATAGCTGATACAATTTAGTTTTTAGCTTCAAGGCCCTATCACAGAATCACCACTGTCTTGTGGAAGTTTCGGAAATGTTTATCAGCCCTTTCTGATACTGGTAATTAAAAGAGCAAGGGAAGCTACGCTAGGTGATTCTTAAAAGGTGGTTGCGTTGGTTTGGGTATGGTGCGAGGTCAGAGGGGTGCCTGAGTAGTTGGCTCTCCTGTTCTCTTTTTTTGAGACAGTCTTGTGAGGTTGCTTTAACAGCTCCTGTCAGAGCATTCTGTCCTTTCAGACTGTAGTCAGGGAAAGGTATATGTGAGAACTGAATGCTGAGCATCTAGCAGGATTAACCCTTCTGTTGTGGCCTAGAACTGAAGGTGTTTCTTTACTGGATTATTTAGGCAATGTCAGTTTTTAATGAGCATTTTCACCAACTTTGGTAGAATAAATTGCAGTAGCTCTTTGCAAATTTGGTAAAAAGTGTTGGGTATAAAGACCACTGCAAGTGGAGGGGCGGAAGGACTATGGAAAATTCTTGTGCCTTTGTCATGCATGCAGTTGTGGCGCATTCCCAGATAAATGCAGTAAATAGGGTTTCACTTCAAAGGCTGTAGAAAGTTTAACGAGCATAAAACTATTCCCCTGAAGTATTTTCATTTATATGCTGTACTTTCAGAACATCCAAATTATTAAGGAAAAAACATTGTATTCTAACTGGGAAAAAGCACGTGTTCATGGTAATATTATGATTACACATAAAACTAAGCTACACAAAGTAATAGGAGTTTTCAGAGCTCACAACTACCTAGCATCCTTTGCCTATTATATTGCTTTTCCTGTCTCGTGTGTCTTAATCTTGAAAAACAAACTGTGGAACAAACTTTTGCTATGTTCTGACCCTAAACCATTTAAAGAGGAACTTGTTTAAAGTGTCTCCTCTTACATAGTGCTTGTGTAGCTAATTGTGCTTCAGATCACTATAGTTTCTAGTTTTTCAAATACCTTTAAAATCCCTTCCATTTCTGTATGGCTTAAGACTTAATATATTCTCCATGAAATTAGAAAAATGCCATCTCCTCTATTGCTGCTACGTTGTACTTAAATTACACTGGAGCATTGCCACAACTTGTTTTGTTGGGAGAGCAGATCCACCATTCATATGCTTACTGCCCTGTTATATCTTATACCAGGCACTGATAAACTTCTTAAAAAATTCAGTAAAGTCCTCCTCTTACTAGTACGTCTAGAAGCTTTATAATGATGTAGCAAGGCAGGTTTGTCTGGAGAGGATACTTGAATTTTTTACCTGTACCTAAAAGTAGTTCTTCAGCAAGATAAAAAAGCATTTTTCTGTGGCTTGACCTACCTGGAGGGGCCTATCTGATCTCAGGTCTTTCCTTCTATATGCTTGTTATAGAAATGCGTTTTAGATCCTCAGGCAAACAGAGCTCTGAAGAATAAACATCAGGGAAAAAAAAATGGTGAAAGCTTGTTACTTTGCTAATGCTTATCTAATATCTGCATCATTTCTGCCAACACTTTATAAAAAAACAACCCAGAACAAATGAAATGAGGAGAACTCAAGAAGTTAAAAACCTGAAATAAGCAAGTAAAAATAGAATTATAAAGCATACTGAATAGTTCCTCTTATACAGAATGTAAAAGACGGACACTTAATATTCTGTAGTGACCTTTTAATAACTTCCCAAATGTAATCATGTCCAGTTTGCTAGTACGGAGTGCTGATTTACCGCAGGCAAGCAATCCCCCTGTAATTTTAAGGTCCACTCATTTCAGTACATTTTTTGTTTTGGGTTTATTTTCTTCTATTGAGTCATCTTCTAGAGCATTAAAATTAAATTTGAGATGAAGTTCTGGAGTCCAGTTTGTACCTTAACTATAGTAAAGCCCACGTTTCAATCTGGGGCTTCTGCACAACTGCTGTGTCCCAGTTTTGCTTACTGACTTAGCCTCAGAGCCTTTCCTGCCCTCAGAGCCTTGCCAGCTGAGCAGCCCCATTCCCTATCCTAAACCATTTAAGAATAGCTGATGCTGAACCATACTAAAGTGGGGTCAATGGCCAGTCTAAATTCCATGTCTCTTTAGTTTCAGAATGGCTGCGGCTATTGCCTTTCCTGGGTGTGCTGGCTTTGCTTGGTTACCTCGCTGTTCGTCCATTCCTCCCCAAGAAGAAACAGCAAAAGGATAGCTTGATTAACCTCAAGATCCAGAAGGAAAATCCAAAAGTAGTGAATGAAATAAACATCGAAGATCTGTGCCTCACTAAAGCTTACTGCAGGTGTTGGCGTTCTAAGACGGTAAGATACTTCTTCATACTATTCTAGGATTAGACTGAAACTTGCATGTTTTTTTTATCAGTTCTGTCACTGTGAATTGGAACACATTACTTTTCTCTGGAGGTGGAATGTTCCTGGTGTCTGAGAACTGTACAGTTCTTCCCTTTCTCCACTCTAAATATATCTATTTGCGGAGAGAGTCTGTAGAAACTTGTAAGAGGGACAGTAGTGTTTTCTAAAAACACTTGCAGAGAAACCACACTTTGTATAGATAAAAACAAAGCAAGCCTTGTTTGATACTTGGAAATACGTTCTAGCTGGTTAGAAAGTTCACTGCGCTACTTTGCGAAAACAATGTTTTGAAAGTTATTCATATTAGAAAGTAAAGCTGGACTTGCATTGAGGATGGAGAGAATATCCTTGTCTGGTTGAGAGCGGTCACCAGATAGTCAAGTCACAGTTGGCTTTGGATGTTGCATATCCACCAGCGCAACTAGCAGTGTCAGTTATATGCAGGTATTTTTCTTCTACCCGCGATTTCTTGCTCTGTTTTTGGCCTCTGCAGACTGAATGCTTTCTTTTTTTAAACAAGAGAACATTTCTACTAGTTCCACAATAAACCTTAACCCATTTGTGGCCGCAGCCTTGGCTGCTCCTTTGCTGACTGTTCTTTCATGCAGAAGGCTTTGTCCCTAACTTTGAGTCCAAGAACAGCTGTTTTAGGACCTCACAAACTTAGTTACCTGGTAGCAATGTGTTTTTTTCTTAGCAAAACATGCCAGGTGCTTGATAGACAAGATGATGGAAAGCGACTTAAGAGGAAGAACAAGGAACTTTATCAAAATATTCTTGGCATAGGAAGAATAAAAAAAAAAACCACACTATATAATTGCTGTACGGAGATATACTAATTCCTCATGTATGTTTTCTTCCAGTTCCCGGTCTGTGATGGCTCTCACAACAAGCACAATGAATTAACAGGAGATAATGTAGGTCCGCTAATACTCAAGAAGAAAGAAGTATAGCAGACACCTAATCCATTAGATTATGACTGATAAGAAGTCTTTTATACAGTTGTAGTTGCAGGAGATGACATTTTATTATGTGATTAGATTGGTTTATTCTAATGATTGCTGTAGATTTCTTTTTGGGATAAACTCCATTTAGACAGTGCTAGGTCTCATTGTTTTGATACTTTATTCTAAGAATTATGTCTGCTGTGTAAAACTGTAAAATAACTATCTCTGTAAATAAGTCGTTTATTTCAACAATAAATTGACTTCTTACAATTAAGCCTTTTTTGTATGAACACGCAGTTATAAAAATGTCACTATTTCAAAGTGACAGAAGCGTACCTTTCTGTTGATTTTGTTCTGCTGAGAAGCCACTTGTATTCTAGTTTTCAGGAACAATTTTTAAGTGCATTTAAGTGGAGGAGAAAGCTTAGTTCCAGACTGTATAAGCTAAATTATTACACAGGTCAGCCACCAACACTGTCCCTTTGTTTCACACCCCTGCATGAATTGTTCATCAACTCTTGTGAGTGGACACAGATTTGCTCCTTGCAATTCACTTACTTACACTGCAGACACTGCTTTTTGTAGCAGAGACTTTTATGGGAGGAATCGTTTAAATGACAAGCCAAGAATACAGCTCACGTCCACCCTTTTGGTTCTGTTACTGATTCAGAATGACTTCGGGCAAGGCAGAGCTTTGCTGTAGTATAGCTGAATTTAAAATGTGGTTAAGTAATTGTTACCTGTCTAACAGCTAGACTTTAATTAGAAAGTGCTTTATTCTTCAATGAAGGACTGTACCAGTAAGTTTAAAAATAAAAATTAGTTTGACGTGTACTACAGTTTTAGACAATTGTACTACAGAAGATCTCAACTCTTCTTTAACACCAGTTTTGAACTGGGGTTAGGTAGGTGGGAAGCCCCAGAGCAGTCTGCCATTGCCATTCCCAAAAGCTTATTAACACAGTGCTGAAACAGAAAGCAAGTCAATGAGCAGGATGTGACTGTATGCTATATGCAAGTATTTAATTGTACCATGGCACAATCATCTTCAAAGTTGTAATGCTCTGTATTGGCCTTATCTTAACGAATGAGAGCAAACCACAAGCACTATCATATTAGAATACAAAATTTATAATAGAGAAAAATCTGGGATGTTACTACCAGTCTCATACTATACTCAGTTACTACTTATAGATTTATTATACTGAACACTATCTATAAACAATATCGAGTGAACCTATGTTAAATCTTTAAAGCAAGTTTTCTAATTGTAATCTCTTAACAAACAGCGTTGAGTCCAAGCCCAAATTCTTGTTTGGTGAAGGGACTGCTAGATGAAATACAACAGCCTGCGTTTAGATGGTGTTTTGCAGCTTTGCAATCCACAGCCTACTGCTGTATATACGAGCCTGTACACGCTTCCAGTTTTTAATCATAATATGTTTGCATTCAAATAATTTGGTTTCCTAAGTGTGAGAAGCAAATTGAATCCATCCTCTGTATTCAATTCCCTTGCTGTAGTCAAACAACTCTGCTAAAGCAGCACAGCAAAATTAGCAAAATTGATTTTTTTTCCCCCCAGGAAGCTCCTCTAAAAGAGGACAGATTTAGTTCTTGACTCCGTCTCTAACATAGCTTGATTACGTAACTACTTTTTTTCTCCCCACTACTGTTAAATGAGATTGCTGCTAAGCCATCTACAAATGTGGCTATGAAACACACACAAGTATTTTTTTGGTTTGTTTTTGTCCATAGGTGAGCAGAACATGTATACGTGATGTGCCTGCAATAGCAGTAGTCAGTCAACAGGTTTTTTTTTTTTTTTTTTTTTTTTTTTTTTTTTTTTTTTTTTTAAGAAAGGACATTTTAGTCATTTCCACAAGATGATAACAACATGAAGATCACAGACAAGATAAATGACTGTTTCCTTGCATTTCAAAATCTTTGAAGGTAAGATGGCCTCTCAAGGCTCCAGTTAAACTCAGAGTCAGAGACTCCCGTCTTACCTCACAGGGTGTTGGAATAGGCCTGTTTTAGGTGCAGAAAAGATCCCTAACATAATCGGGTTTACACACGCTTTATACCCTTGGCAGAACAAATCTAATCCTCTGCAAATGCTGCTTGCAACTGTGCAGCTATAAAAACCAAAGCAAACAGAAGCTTAACAAGGCTAGTTGTGATATTTTCACTACAGAAAACGCAAACCGAGAATGCTGCTGCTTTTGGTTACCAAAGTAAGATTTCTCTTTCAGCCTACCTGCCAGCTGAAAATTGGCATGCAGTACGCTAATATCACAGCAGTGCTGAGGAGATTAGCAAAATGCATCTCCAGGATGAAGGAGAATATGCCACCAACAGCTACTGGAGTCACTCTAGTCCTCTGTGCTTTCTCTGTCTTTGGAAGCTAGGCATCTGTACCAACAGCTTTTGCCAAGTATACGAAACTTGCTTGGACCACTGACTTTGCAACACCACATAGGATTGGTTTGTCTGATCCTGTGCTGCAGTTTGGATTCTTTATCTGCAAGCCACACACAGGACACTTCACTATCAAGTTAGAATACTGGGCCTGAGAAGACAGACACCGAAGGAAGAAAAACACATTGCTGACTCCTTTAACAGCCACTTTATGCTCTAAATATGAAACTGAAATGCTCTTTTTTTAATTGCATGACAAGTAATCAGCAAATTTTCTATCCCATTTTAGTAATCCATCTCACATGAAGAATTACTAAGCTGTTCACGTTATACTCCTAAACTTGGTGGGGATGGGTAAGAACTGAAGTGTCTATGGAGCCCTGTATCTCACTGATGTTTAAGAAGGGGTTTAACCAGTTATTTGCCAGGATATATTTGGTCATGTTGGATGACTTTTCCACCCTAATTTGAAAGCTGTAGACAAAGGGATAGATTTGCCCGTAATTCTAATGAAGACCAGGACAAAAAGCAGTGGATCAGATCTTCACAGTCTTGATGCAAAGTCAGGGAAAGCAAGACTTTGCATGTCATAACGCACCTTTTTTACTCTACTAGAACAGGAGTGCTTACCTTTCTTTTGATTATGAATTTGAACAATGGTTGTAATAAACCTACAAATAAACTTGTAAAACAAATATACTTGGAGAAAGGTGTCCAATTTGTGTCAAATATTAAACAAATGTATTTAAAGCGCGACTGGCACAACAGCAAGATATAAGAACTGTATCATTCACTATGTCATGGCCACATTATACCACGTGTTTCACAATTAATTCTAGACGTCAGTGCTCAGTTTGGCTGAAAAAGAGAGAGAAAACAGTGATTGTGTATGTTTACAGTATCACTGCATCCCCTGGCCTGTGCAGATTCCTGCTTCCAGATGGCCAATATCCGTCTTTTTCCATACACTGCCTGCTGTAACTGCCCGCCACAGGCCGACAGGAACACGCTGCGCTGTCAGAGCCTTCTGCTGCAGAGGCTTTCGGCTTCTCTGTGGTGCCCAGCGACAGGACAAGAGGCAACGGGCAGAAACTGAACCACAGGAAGTTCCACCTAAACCTGAGAAAAAACTTCTTCACTGTGAGGGTGACTGAGCATTGGAACAGGTTGCCCAGAGGGGTAGTGGAGTCTCCTTCGCTGGAGGTATTCAAAACCCGTCTGGACGTGATCCTGGGCAATATGCTCTAGAGGACCCTGCTTGAGCAGGGAGGTTGGACTAGATGATCTCCAGAGGTCCCTTCCAACCTAAACGATTCTGTGACCCTTCTGGAATTCCTCGTGCATCAAGTGCTTAGTCTTCTGCCACGTTACGTACGTGATTATGTCCTGTGAGAGCAGGACTCCTTCAGTTACAGTTTACTACGCCTTGCACTCTAATTTTATTTGCTGCAATTGCGAGACTCTTTGGTATGGCATAAAGATCTTCTTGGCTTAAATTTATGCATTATTCATGGATGATTTCATGGCATTTTGTTAAAAGGGAGGTGGCCTTAACTGTCATGACTCCATCAGCTCAAACTCAGATGAAAAGTGAAATCTTATCTCAAAATTAACTGCTGTTTAAAAAAATGAGCTGAAATAGTCCTGATACTTTAAAAAAAAAAAAAAAGTTCACAGGTTCTCAGCGCCAATACCATGTCTCTTTTCAGGGCAAGAAACAAGTGCTTTGTTCCCTACTGCAAGACAAAGGAGAAAAGCATTATAAAGCATTAATGCTTTTAATTTTACAGCTGCAGGACAACATAATAGCTTCCAGCTGATTCTTGTTCAAGATTTAATAAGGGTTGGGGATGGAGGTCTAGGAAGAAATATACACATAGGGCAGGGAGAAAAGGAAAGCTGATTTGATGGAGTTTAGATTAGAAAACAAGATGCTTTCAGTACAGCTATTCAAGCATTCAGAATGGTGGGAATGATTCTAACGAATACATTGGGAGACTGCATTGAGACAGGTTCAGGGAACATATAAATTTATAAAACACATACAACACATACAGCTTCTACTACCATTTACCTCCATTTCAAACGCATTGTTTTACAAACAGCCACAGATGAACTGAACACCATAATCCCTCATTTTATCAATTAGGTAACACCTCCACAGCTATTACAATTTCCAGATACATGAAGCTACCCCTATTTAAGTAACTGAGTGCCTTCCCTTAGCCATTCAAAGGGCAGAGAACATGCACAGAAGTCAATGGTTGATACAGTAACCAGGAAGTGCAGCACGGCAGCCCTTCAATCTGCACAGTTTGAAAGCATCCTCCTTTCTGGTAAGGGGATGAGGACAAACTGAACTAACTAAAGATTGTACATTCCATATGGAAACAGCGAGAACAGTAACATGTATGGTAAGGAAACTTGGTGAAAATTAATAGTTGTACTTTACAAACGTTAGGAGAAAACTTACCAAAGAACTTCACTGCAGTGAAGTTACAGGCTATGAACCTTCAGTATTTTTCAGGAAGCTTGCCTTTTGGCTTGGAAAGGAAGGCATATACAAAAGGCATGTATACTGCGCTATAATTTTTCTGTACACACAAGTATACACATACACTCTGCGAATAATACAGTTTCAGAAATGTGTGACAGTTTTCTTTTAAAACCACTTTCTGACTTTTTTACATTACTTGTTAAAAATATAAGAGCTAAAATAAGTGATTACTCCTACTTACAGATACCAACATTTCTGGATACATCATTCTATACAGTATCTTGTACAATCAGTTCAATATATTGTAGTGTAGAACTCCACAGGCAGCCACTGTCCACTTCAATTTCAGGCATAATTTAACATTTCCTCATTAAAAAAAATAAGTAAATAAAAATCCCTGTTTCTGAAGGATGCTATATTGACGCCAGGATGCTGTATTGACTCCATGCCTTAGAGCTGGAGCAGGGAATGACCTACTCCGGGCTAGTTACGTTGCTATTCCGTGGTACAAAACGTAGCAGAATAGGAAAGATTTGCTGTTACCTGTAACAGACAGTAATAAAACCTGACCGGTACCAAAGCTAAAGGCAAGAGCAGGATTTTGATCAGCAAAGGAGTTTACTTCTGATTTTAGGGCAGTCAAGGAAAAGAGGAAGCAAGCTGTAACAGGTTATACCGGAAAAATCAAATGTCAACAATATTGCACTGACTGTGCAGGAAGCATCTCTATTAAGTAGAATGAAGGAAAAAAATTTGAGCTTTTTGCTCCCCCTGGTGAAATGTTTTGGCAAGAGACTCAAGATGAGTGTTGCCAGTCATTACTGTGATCCACAGCTGCATGGAACTTGCATGTCTAGAAAGACCCACGTCACCTGTGCAGATATCCTGAGCGCGCTAGCACTGCATCCCTAACACTGACTCCCCTCAGGATGCCTGCCTTCACATAGTAGCCTTTTTGAAGGAAGGTGAGGTGAGCCTCTGTTTGGTTTGTACTGTTCCTCTCAGCACTGGATTTTCAAGGCTGTTCATTTCAAGTTCTATCATTTTTCTGCATGAATAAGAGGTAAAAACGCTCTGCTGCATCTGAGAGGCCTCCATTGTCCACAGTCAACCCAGCTAGCTACCTCTTGCAAAAATGAGCACTAACTGACTATACAGATTTAGCAAGTATCTGTTTTACCTTGCTGCAGTTTTCCAAACGCAGATGTGAGACAGGCCAGATCACGTGCTGCAATTCGTCCCTCTGTTCTACAGTGATCAGCACCAGAACACGGGAAACAGCACTTCTGTGACTGATGAGCTAGCTTTCCCTCCCTTTACATAGTATTGTGCTTAAGGCTGGGTTACACAGGTGAAGAAGCAGCAGCCGTCCCAATCCTACGCAACCCCCTCGCCAGTCCTCATACCCTCCCGGCCACCCTCATCCAAATTTCAAGCTCAGCTCTTTTGCCAGGGCTAGCAACTCTTATGTTACCATAGTCCCTGACAGAGCCAACTGTCTCCTTCAGCACATAGATACAACTTGCTGTTTCTTGCTGTGATAGAGCTGACAGTCCCTTGAAGGCATAAAGGAGTGCATGAGTTATGGGCAAGTTCTGGAACCCAAACGAGGAGGGAGAGGGAATCACCAACCCCAGCGGCCGGACTTGTTCGCTGTGTGTGAACAGCCCTGTCCAATTCAGAAGTCACACTTCTTGAGCCTTTGAACTTGTCATCTCACAGCCCAGTTCCAACCACCAAAAGTTAATCATGTTAATCTCCCTTTTCTTCTGTTTATATTCCACCTCATGACCCCACTCCATGCCCGAACAATTCAGCTCCTCTCCCTGGCCTCACACCCACACATTTCAAATAACTGTTGACTGTTAACTTATCCGGTGACTCATTGCCTGGCCAGCCTATTCACTGTATGTTTAGCTTATTCATCTCTTAAGGCACAATCAACAGCTAAAAATATTTTAGAAAAACTCCACCAGGGCTGCTTTTAAAATAGCAGATATAACGGACACTTGTTTTGTTTTCCTCCAGAAAGATTAAAGACACACAGTGTTTACTCATCAAACGTAGCAGGGGCTGAAGGAATGTATTCCCGTACGCATCTTTCTTACGAACGCTCACAGGTTTCTGGCTCTTCCCCAGCCTCCGCACCTTCCTCATCTTCCTTATTTGTTTGAGCCTTCTGCAAAAGTCTGGGCCCTGCCAAGCCAATAACCAGGGCTCCAATTGGAGCAGTGATCAAGATTGCCAAGAAAGCTACTGTCAGTACATCCATTCCATACTTTTCCAGCTGCTCATCCTGATGACTTCTTGCAGTATCCAGGGCAAGGGAACCTATTGCAGCCTGCAGGAAAGAAAGCATTGCGGAGATGGAGCACATAACTGTTAGCGCTGAGAGAGGAAAAAAAGGGCTAGCCGTTCAGTTTATGTTTAGTGTGTGCCCTACGCTTCTTTTAATTCATTCATCTGCTTAGCTTCTAGGCAGTATGTAGAAGAGTAAGGGTTATACTACATCTGTGGTAATGATTTACACTTGACTACACTTTGAATTTCCTAAACTAATGAGTTAATCTGGATGGTTGCCCCCTATGAAAAACACTTTTGAGCTGCCATGTTATCCCATTTCTGGAGGAGGTATAATTAATGAAATAGACCTATATATTGCTGTCAAAACGCCATACCTTGAGAATGTATCCTGATAGCAGTCAGCTAGTAGCAATTTCTCAAAGTTTAGTTTATGAAGCTTGCAATATTTCTTGCTTGTTTTGATTAATAACTTCTGATGGCAAACAATCATGCTATGAGACAAAGTCTTAAATGACTTAGGATCATGAAAATAAAGGAAAAGGAATGCAACCTGCCTGAGGCTTCTCTAGCAGTAAGACTGCCAGACCACCCCTTCTTAAAATTACCACAAACTAAATCCTTCTGAGCCTCTGGTGCGACTGTCTCAGCAGACAATTCATGTAGTACAAGATGGAAACCCTCAAAATCTGTATGTAAAGGCAAAACAATCTGCAACATCTGAAGAATAATTATTCTATAATCAAGTATTTGTATGTACAATTCACTCATTGACAAGAGTGCCACCTATACCCTTACACTGTATGGGAGGAAGGCCCCTGCACTTCCCTAGCGGACTTAGAGCTGAGTTGTTTAGAATATGAATAATGCAAATACTATACTCTGCTGTTAACAGGCCTGTTCTTCCCTCAATTTACTTCTGGGCTAGCCAGGAAGAGTTCTACTAAGGGCAATAAATACAGCTCGTAACGAAAGTGATGGACTGTTTTACCTGGACAGTGGCTTTGGGGATCCACGCCAACGAGACAAATACTTTCTCCTTGAAATTAAACCCAGCGAAGCACACCATCAGGAACGTGGCTAAGATTCGTACAACAAGGGCAATACCTAACGTTGCAATACAGAGCCCTACAACAAAGACAAAGACGTCTCAGCATTATTGCACATAGGTGCCTGGGTGGAATAAGCTTTCTAAAACTGTAGCTTTACAGTGTTTTGTTTTTTGGTTTTTTTTTTGGCGGCCATAGACTGCTTTGCTTTAGACTTCTGTATGGAGATTCTTTGGAAGCTAGCAATGAAAGCTGGATAACTAGTGAATGATCTTACCAACAGTTTCAGGCCTAAGAGACATAACAGATACTTCTGCTCCAATTAAACCAAAGAGAAAAGGCTGGAAGACATTCCACGCAACTGCAACAATTTTTTCTACTGCCCTCTACAACAAAAACAGAAATAATCTGTAAATTCACAAAAACCTGGCCAAGTACACACAACATGCAATTAATCACAGGACAAGGTGAAAACGTATCATAGACTGGTCAGAATTGTTCCTCAGACTCTCAGTTTATGATGAACTTTTTCTTTAACCTAATAATAAAAGATTCAAGGTAAGATGCACACCTTTCAGAGGTCAGAGAATATCTAGTTCTGCTAGTAAATGAACGGTTATCTCAAGAAGAAAAAAAAAATCACTCATGTGTGAATAGTAACAAAGCAGTTTGCAAACTAGAGGAGAAAATTAAAGCATAGTTGATTTTCAGTATTTAAGAGGACGTGTTTTGAAGTTTTGTCACAAAGCTGCTGAGCCATCAGGAACTGTGTGATTAAAGGTGTTCCTTCATTTATTTCTTAGCAGGGACAAATCTTCCAAGTTTCAGTAGCAGCCTAATTCTGCTCCTACTGCACTCAGTTGGAGGCCTCGCTCCGAGTGAACAGGAGCGAAGTTAGGCTAAGGAAGTCTGAAATCCCGTATTAGTGAAGAGTATTGAATTTTCAGTGTGATGTGCTGTGCAAGTGCAAAACCATGCTTTCTCTTTTCGTTTGAGCTTCACACTCCTACTTATGTGAAGAGGTACTTTTGTATATTTAATACCTTGTTTCTAATTAAGTGGGTCCTACAATAGCAAATGAATGTCCAGGCCTGAGAGGGTGAAAATACAGACCTCAACATTTTTCTTTATTCTCTCACTTTTCCCTATTATCTTACCCTTTTTGGAGGTAAGATTTTTACCTCCTTTTTAGAGGAAAAACGATCTTCCTTACTGATGTTAGCAACACTTCCCTCTGCTTACTGCCCATTAACTGCTTTAGCAATGGGAACAGTGTTCCTTGCTTTCTGTGGACAGCACTTGCTAAGTCATTTCCACCAGGGAAGGCACAAGGCAGTGTCATAGCCTT